ATAAAAAAAAATATTTAAAAAAAAAAAAGATCACAATATTATACGCAGTATAAATAAGTACGCAGTACACATATATGTATCTAGGTACATCAGACATTATAGGTATAAAAAAAAAACTGAGATTAAAAATAAATTTGTATAATGATTTCGTGTTTTGAATACAGCTATACGCACAATGTTATAGTCTATAGACCATGGTGCACGGTTAGTGATTTTTAGAATCAGACCGATCATTATCAACATGTGTCGGATACTTTTGTACTGGTTAGGACCAGTAGGTAATAGTTAATTACAACGTATATTAATTTTCATTTCGAAAATAATTCGACGTTATACTATATAACAGGATGGATCAGAGGATGCCAACTGCCAATGGAAATCAAAGTGTGTTCTTATTTAGCGCCGTTAAACGTAATATAATATAATATTGTGACCTAATTGTCAGTACATAATAATATGAATAATTATGTACCTACACAGTATACATCAATAAACAATGAATATGTAAAAAAAAACAATTACTATAGAATGAAATAATTGATAAAGTAATACAGATATATTTTTTAACAGTAAACACTGTTCATTATGTCGAAAAATGTATAAGGTTTTCGAAAATATTTGTCTGCATAATTTGTAAGTAAAACTAATTTTTTTTTACCTCTTAATGGTGGTTAAACAATATTCATTATTATTGAATAAGCAATATTATATTATGTTACCTAATTAGTAAATATAATTCAACTTAACAAATTAAATCGATTTAAAACAGAATCCTATATAGAGTTGTGCACTTGTGTTACTATATAGGTTAGGTACCTGGTACCTATTCCGTTTAACTTAAAATATAATTAATGAATTTATTTTGTATAGAATAATAAAATATAATACCACTGACGGACAAATATCAGCATATTATCATGAAATATACTCGAATAAAAATTCAAAGATTATGGCAGTCGAATCCAATAGGTGTTGTAATAGTATAAACATTATCTTGCCTTGCACTGAATAGTAGACAAAAATTGCATTATAAATATTAATGACTGCAACTTTTGTGTTTATATCTATTAATAATAAAATGCAAATAGTGCGTTCAAAAAAACTATAAACTACCTATGTAGTATAAACAAATTAATTATAATTACAGACTACGGTTCTATCTTATGTAGTTGGTCATTCTGCTGCTCGATATAGAAAAAACGGCAATTTTAATAAAGGTATGTAAATTTACCAACTCAATTCGTAGCAGGTTAATAATTAATATAAACTGGGAAAACGGATTATAAATGTATAAAAGTATAGAAAACTGATTATATTATACAATAATAACAGCAAGTATGGTGGTACAATAATGTGTTATAATCGTAATAATATTAAACAACAATTATTACTTTCACATGATTTATGTAAGCCTGACTTAAGTCAATTTCGATGACAGTGTTAAGAAAGACAAAAAAACATGCCTTTCTTTGGGAGGGGGGGGAGTCATTATAAAATTATTTTCGACATTTAAAATATAATTAAAAAAAGTTTTATTTAAATCAAACTTTGTTTTATATTTCTATACTACATATAGTTAATTAAAATATTTAAATAAGAGTGCGTCCTAATAATGGACGTGACTTACTAATTAAAACAGGAAGAGCTTCAAATGAGCTTGGTACAAAAAAATAATCACGCAATATTAATCATGAATTATCATGGACATTAGTCCCAACTCCCAAGCTTATTCACGTTTGTATATTATAAACTATATAAGTATAATATAATATTCACAACCTACACATTACACAACTTAGATGACTCATAAAATATTAGGTATTAACTTATTCCCGGTTAAAACCAATTGTGCAGTTTAAAAATGTCTCGTAAATTAACATATTGTATTAAAAATCATAAATGTATCGAGTATACTAACAACTATGTAGTAACTACCCCTGTATTATGACTTATGAGTACAATAATATGTAACAATATTTACCTTATTACCTTATTAAATACACAAAAACAATATTGAAGATGATTTTTTTCTGTTTTTTTTTTCATGACGTAATAGTTGTAATAATAATAATATACATACCTATTATACTGCGTGTTTAAAGGTAGGTTAGGTACACGTCATCTTCGACGATGCAAGGAAATCTCAACGATATAATCAGCTGTATGGCATGCTTTCGTAGAATAAAACTGCCATCTGTGATAAAAAAAAACAAGGAACACACATTACGTTATATTCATACCGAATGAAATAGGTATCGTAAATAAAATTATACAATCCACTTATACGAGAGCCTATATACCTACAGCCTATACACCTACAGCTATTTTCAATGAAAACGTTATCTTTTCCTTCTAGTTTTTTAACACGTCACGTAACACCACATGTATAATAATAAATAAGTAATTATTTTTAGTAAATAATAATCATTATTATTATTGTTTTGCAAATATTACAACGTGGGTTGTGTTATAGGTATACGCGGTTTCTTCAAATCTTTTAAAATTAAAAATAATTTTCAAATATTATAAACACTTGAGTTCTTAACGGCTAACGCGCATATATTTAATATAGGTATAGGTACCTATAAATCGTAGATAAGTAAATGCTATAAATTATACGCTTGTTTATTACTTATCAATACATATTTTTGACGAAATGGTTCATTAATACATATAGGTAATATTATCATCATAATATTCAAAATAAAAATAATCGTTGTCTATAAATATTCTGATATAGCATACCTCTGCCCAGACACTCGTAGATCAGTAAATAAGTATATAATATGGAACACCAAATAATTACTTAACATCAGTTAAGCTATATAAAATCTTGTATTTTTTAATATCTAAAAAGCTGAAGGGCACGATTACAGGACATTCAATTGATTTCAAGGTTATGGAAAAAAATAATTGAATGCTAATTTAAAAACAGATAGTAATAAATCGTTGGCCATTTCTTCGCATTTCTTCAGCAGAAGAGTACAATATATATTATATCTATAAATAAACAAATATGTTTAATAATCAAAAATTACAATATTATTGTATCATCACTTAGGAGGTATAAATACATTTATTAATGTATATTCAATAATGATCATAATACTGATAAGCCATATTTATTAATTATGTAATAATCCGATCGCTCATGGTTTAATTAAATGTTGAACCTTCCGCAAGAATAATATTGTAAAAGTTTGTATTAACTTCTTCTGCATTAAAATTGAACATAAAAATTAAATGTGTATATTTAAGATATTTCGTTAACAACTTATTGTTTTTAAAAAATGTGATAAATAATATTTTATTTTTGAGTATATATATTTATATTTTAAAACATAAATAATTATTATGTTCTATTATGTTTTAATAATATATTATATTAATATATACCTATAGTATGTACATTGTACAGTGTATTTAACCACAGCGAATCAATACAAATTTTAACTGTACATAAATAAATAAAATACCTGACTACTGAAGTAAAACAAGTAATAATATGACATAGCATAATAAACTCAAGTCTAAACATTATCACAGTTCACAAGTTTTGGGCAAATATTATATAGGTGTCATGGTTGTATAAGTATCGATTAGAGATGCAGTTTCTTGTAGAAAAATCAATTATTATAACATAAACCGGATATTTAGATGTGCAGTAGCATTAAATTATTAAAATCAGAAATCGGTTACCGGTCAAGAAGAAGACAAGAAATATAATATTATATATAGGTACCTACGTGGCTTTACGTCCATAGCAAATTGCACCGGACAGCGAGCATAATATTATATTATTATTTATTTATATTGGTCCGGTCACTAAAATTTAGGTATATGACATTGCGTGATTTTTTTAATTTTTACCATTGATGAATTTCCTGGTTCTCCGGTGATAGTTATTTATGTAGTATATTTTACATCGTCATGATTTTTTATGAATAAGTGTTCGTACAACGACTTTATAATAATTATTAAATTAATATATTTTACGGTTTCAAACTGGTCCATTAGTTTTTCGTATCTTAATCCGACCGCTTATTATTATAAGTATCCGTTATACAATAATATTATTATAACTACAGCTTAAACATTATTTTGGAGGCCGTCGAATTGTGGTCGATCATTATTCATTACGTAGTACACAGTTAAATAAATAGTCGTGGCGTTAAGACATCGAGAATTATTATTATTATGAGATTCAACCAATGGAACAATATTCAACTGCTAATACTGTGCATTTTCTTTGGAACTGTTCCATCAATGAGTAATTCATTATTGCGGTGTAATGAAACACTTTTAATCATCTGTATCCAACGCGAATGACTCGAAACTGAGAGCATAACGCACTAATATGATCACGTCATATTTTCGTGAAGTTATACACCATCTGAGTATTGAATTTATAATGGCAAAAAAAACGATTACATAAAAAACGAAAATACAAGAAATAAATAGTCCACTACTACTATTACTTCTATTACTTAAGCTTATTAAGTATAATATATTGTATATATGTTACAATAAAATGTATTCATGCAACACTGATGAACTTTGTAGGTAATTGATAGGATTTCTTCTTCAACAGGTGTTTAGGGACGGAAATAGTTATCAATTCACTTAGATTTTAACATAATATGTGTTGTGTGCTCTGGTTACAATTTTTTTCCAACCGATTTTCGCAAATAAAAGAAAAAAAATTAATCACAAAATGTAGCATGTTGCTAGATATTTTTCCACTATACTATACCCAAAAACATTTCTATAATTCCTCAGTTTTTCTTGCAGAGAAAAAATATCTAGTAGCATGCCACTAATATAATATTATATATTATGAAATTAAAATTTTTTTTGAGAAATATACTTATTATTTCATACATTATACATTATAGGTAATAGGTATAAAGTATAGAGTGTAAGTGTTTGTATAAATAATATGCTAAACTATATTTAAACTTCTGTTATAGATTCTGTTTTGCACTTTAAATACTCACAAAATGGATATGACTAAACTTCTGGGCAGTCAAATCGGTCTGGATGATTTTATTTTCGTACATCGTAAAGGTAATTTAAAAATCGATCATTTTACTGACTAGTAAATATATGATGTTACATTGTTCCATAATATAATTACCTATACAGGGTGATTGATTAAGCGCGTAAAACACTTATTATCTCAAAAAGTATTAATGTTTTTGAAAATATTTTTTTACATAGTTTCAAGTTGTTAAAAAAACAACGTTTTCATTAAAAAACTATATTTTTATCCTTATAATTTTTTAAGTTTTTTTACTTTTTTGAATGACAGCATAGAGTTTTAATTTCATATTCCAAAGCAGAATATTTTTCTAAGTATTTTGATACATAAAAATCGAACTTAGGCGAGTAGTTTATGAGTTATAAGTATTTTAAGTTTAAATGGGCGGAGTAGAGGATAAACATTTGGCGGGGTAACCCCATACCACTCCACTCCGCCCATCTATACTTAAAATACTTATAACTCATAAACTACTCGTCCTAAGTTCGATTTTTATGTATCAAAATACTTAGAAAAATATTCTGCTTTGGAATATGAAATTAAAATTCTATGCTGTCATTCAAAAAGTAAAATAACTTAAAAAATTATAAGGATAAAAAATATTTAAAAATATAGTTTTTTAATGAAAACGTTGTTTTTTTAACAACTTGAAACTGTAAAAATATTTTCAAAAACATTAATACTTTTTGAGATAATGAGTGTTTTACGCTTAATGAATCACCTTGTATAGTTATTCGTAGAAATGGTTCGTCCAAACGATATTTAATTTAATAATATTATGTATTTACTATTAACCATACAACCTATACCTATATATTATTATGTTTAATTTCATAAGGACGGCCAAAAGAAATCGAAATCGCCAAGACAAACGAGGCACTTGGTCTGACAATCACAGATAATGGATCTGGATATTGTTTCATAAAACGTATCAAAGAAAATAGCATCATTGATAACATTTCGTACATAAGTGTGAGTTTTTTCTGGAAAAAATATTTTAAACAATGAAATTGTACTTTTTTATCATATATTTCATGTGACTTGTAATTGACGTATCCTTTTCTAACTATATAAAATATGTAAGATTACGTTTTAAAATGGGTTTAATTTATTTGGTATAGGTACATTTTAAACTTATTATTAAAAAAAAAACCAATTTTTATATTATTAAACTTAAGTCTCAAACTCTCAACTATAACCCTTTGCTCCAATGTAGAACGTGCTTAAGTCAATTTTTTTTACAAAAAATCGTTTTTCCGTAGATGTAAAGCTTCATTTTGCTTCATTTTTTGGTACATTTGGCATAAGTCAGTGACAAATATTATTCATATCATTGAAGAAATAAATAGGGCATATCTAAACATAACCGTTTCTACGTTTGGTAGAAAAGGCGTGTGATGACTTATGCTTGGACAAAAAGACATATTATGTCAAAATAATTGAAATCAAAAAGACATAAGTCGTGGACAAAAAGAGCATAAGTCAGAAGATGTGAAATCCAAATGGCATAACTACAATTAAATCTGTATATTATGATAAATTCAAGAATTTTAAGTCGTAAATGTAATTAGAATATGATTAATATACATAAATGGTTTTTATAATATTCGTGGTTGTAACACTAAAACGTGTAGGAATTTCCAAACTTTCAAACGGCTGTCTTGAAAAGTTGATTAAATTGACATAAGCCCTTTCTACCTGGGACCAAAGACCGTGATATAATATATACATTGCCACGTTGGTAGGTATATTAATATTATACTACTAACTGCAGTCTGAGAAGGGTTTATAAATATAATTTGGTTGTTTTTAATATACCAATTTAATAAAATATATTACCTATTTCACAGGTAGGTGATCATATTGAAAAAATAGACAATGAAACGATGGTGGGCAGAAGACACTACGAAGTGGCCAAAATGTTAAAAGACATTCCAAAAGGATCTGTATTCACGTTGCGGCTAATAGAGCCAATCAAAGCGGGATTTTGTATGTAATTTTTAAGGATTAAGTCTAATAATAATATAGTCTAACGTAATTGAATACTTAATTCATTAATTTGTTACTTGTTCGTATTTTTACGTTACCAGCGAATATCGAGCCGAGGGGTTCCAAACGAGGGAAGAATGCTTCGTACGGAAATGGGAAAGAGACGTTACGGTTCAAAGCCAACGGGGCGGCTGAAATTCAAAAAGAGGTAATACAATATTTTGCGTGTATCCATATTTAGACCGAGACTTGACCGATAACAAAAAAAAAATTGTATGTAATTTGTTTTGTAGACTGACGAGTCACAAAAAGGTATTGATAAAATCAATCAACTGCTGGAAAACTTGTTGGGAATTAGCGACTTCGAACTTGGTAATTTTTAACTGTATAATATATAATATGTTTGTATTAAACAAGTAATATCTTCAATGTTCTTTGTTTTCTTAACAGCTACACAGATTTGGGAGAAAGGAGAAGATAAGTTGAACAGCATGGACTTTGCGGAGGCTGTCGACAACTCTGATTTAGACGAATTAGGATTCACGGACGATTTCATCATTGAACTCTGGGGTGTCATAACAGATGCTAGGGCAGGGCGCTTGAAAAATTAAATACCTACACAATAATATGTATTTAACCGCCTTCTTATGTGTTTAATTTTATTTTGTATATTTATACTGATTATAATATAGTCGAATAAAAATGTATTTATAAATGATTTCAACAATTAGTGAATATTATAATTATGTGCTTTTTCGTGAAAAGTGAAATTCGTTGCATATACACTAAAATGGCTGTAACAAAATATTTGGATTAATGTAAGCAACTATAGTATAGGTAGGTACCTATTAGTTCCTTCATATAACTTTTGCAGAATTTTAATTTTGAATCTACTGTAGGGTAAGATAGAACACTGCTACACACTAGTTACTAGTATAATACTGTTCTTCGTTCACACTAGTTTGTATTATATTTAATAGCGTGACCAAATGAGGTGTGAAGTTAGTAAGTAGTAACTATATAGTAGCCACGTTATGAACACGATTTTATTATAATATTTAGTACAATAAATGGCTAGGTAATTCATGCACTTAAATAAAACTGTTTTATAAATATCAAATCGTTTATTTCAATAAATTATTATTTAAATTATTATACTTCCCCATTAATGATACCTAAACTGTATTCTCAATGATATATAACTGTATTCAGTCATTCAAGACTGTTATGATGATATTAACTGCTAAATTAACTTGAATATTATACATAAAAATGGGAGAGGTCTGGAGCGATCACAAATAAATGCATTTTAAATAGCAAAAAAAAAAAATGTAATCAACACAAAAAAAGGAAAAATAATTAATGAACTTATCTAGAACCTATAAAGTGTCAAAAAAAGTGGGAAAAGGTCTGGGCCCCAAGAGGTTACATACATTTTAAAAATCAAAAAAATTATTCAAAATGATAAAATTGAAAAAAATAATTAATAAACATCATGTTATTTAATAACTACAATACTAAATTGTACCAAAAGAAAAAAAAGGATAGGGCCTGGGGTGCCCGCAGATAAATTTGTTTTAAAAAGTAAAAAAAGAAAGTAAATTCAAATTAAGAATTAAGTAATTTTAGCTTGTAATAGCAGTAGTCTAATCTGAATTTTAAATCCAAATAAAATATTTAATAATTATAAATTATTTATAAGAAACCTTAGGATGGCTGACAAGGTACATCAGCTACCAGATTTTGTCACTTATAATAGTACATTATAAGAATATTCATTTTATAAATTTTAATTTTAAGGATATAGAACTGTTTTTGGATTCAAGGTAAGTCGTTTAAATCAATGTGGTGGTAAAGAAGATACTATATGATTTTATTGGTGAGAACGATCATGAGTGATATCAGTGTGCTAACAATTAATACAGGTACAAATGCAAGTACGAGCAACACATTTGCAATCAAGGATTTGAAAATAATTGGTATATATAATTGGTTAGTATTTTATAATCTTGGTTTCTTTTATATGAATATGAATATTTTTATTTAAAAAAATATTTGGACGTTACATTATGAAAACATTCTAAACTCTGAAGGATCGGACCCTGTTAAAAAAAAAAAAACATAGGTACATTATGCTTATTGTACTTTGTTTAAGTATAGATTGTATAATTTTCTAGATTAAAAATAAAAAAATTTATAGTCACATAATAATTATAATATGTACTATATTATATTATATTAAGCGGATAAAGAGTGGGTATATACTGAAATATAATGTGCTGGGCATCTTTGGTTTATAGGTATACATGTTCAGCACGCCAGGTTTATAGGTATATGAATATGGTTATATAACCACGGTGTGTTTTTATAAATGTAGTAGATATACTTACCTAACTTATTTATTAGTTGTCGAATTTTATTATTATTTAACATATTATTATCACACTCCTGTTGTACGCCTGACACGAGAAAAAAAAATAGAAATTACGACAGCGATGTACCTAAAAAAGTCTATCCACAACTCCGGGTGATCATTTATTTGTATAATATTGTTTTTAAATATTTACACTATTTTGAGAACACTAAACCCAGCTTTACACGACACCACTGTTGAGTAATGTTGAACTTTCCATCCTTGATGTTGCGTGATAATATTTGTATTCTCGAAATACTTCTACGTCTTCAACATAATAATTGTATGAATAATGTGATATTATCATGTTACTTTTAGATGCGCAATAAATATAAAATAGATAAGTAAATATTAAACAAAATTATATAATTTAAATGATTAAAAAAATGAATTCAAATTTTCATTTGTAATGAATTTATTATTAAGTTACTTTAAAATTTGATTTTATTCGAATAAATGTGGTATAATAATATGAATATTTGTTATTGAACAATACTTTTAAAATTCACAATTTATATTTTATACTCACTCATAATGTAAAATAAAAAAAATCTAATTTGAAAATAGAAGTTTCCCAACATTTAAATGGTGCGCGTTGCTTGTACGAAGCACTGTTGTTGAGTTTCCCATCTCACGTAAGAAAATATAACTTCGTCGGTTGTCGCCTATACCTATTGATAATTACACTGATGTATTATGAGGTTCTTAGTCATATAATATATATCATATAGTAAATAATAAAATATGAGGAAGTGTTCAGTAGGGTCGATTCAGGATACCCAAACAGGTGGACTGCAGCAATTCTCCAATTCTCCTCCTTCAGCAGTTGGAGTGACGCTATAACAGTAGTGACTTGAGTGGAGATAAAACGTGGACGCCTCTACGCCTTACGTATAGGAATGGCCACTGTACATTTGAATGGAGCAAGATGCCTTTTGACAATGCCGAAAAGCTACAACGTTACGTCTACCATAAGTAAATACATCCTCGATGATAGCAACAACCAGTCAAGAGCGCGTGGTTTATGATTGGCAAAATGGACGCCCGTCAGGTATTCTAGGCGACGGACAGGTATATATCGAGGTGGGATTCAGAACGTATATTAATATTTCGTATTTCATTCCATTCACAACCTTCAAACGATCAACATCGTTACGGAGGAGTCAAAAAATAGGACTTTATCTGCATTCTGCAGACCCACAGAACGACCGTGACCAATCGACGCGCGACGCTCTGATTGAAATATCAACCAGCAGACCGTTGACGTGAGCTGATATTATAAAATAGCCGTTTAAATAGTTACTAGGTAAGTTACCGTAACTTAAGGTACCTAAATAAGTTTGGTCGTCTTTAAATCGTCAACGCCGACCGTCGACGCCGCCTCCACTACCTGCAGTGACGAGCCGAACTGCTGCCATCGCGTAGAATTGTATTCAAGTTAAGAGGACGCCACACCCGCATGTGTTGTCTCCGTCTTACAAATGTAAAACATAGCAAAAACTCTTTTGCGAGGGACAACTTTTCTCGCACCATATTTGTTGTAGAACTACCAAATTTTCACAGCACTTAAAGAAGAACTTTATCTGTGCAACAGCGTGCTCTTTTTTTCCTATAGCACCATCCAATCATTTTTTATAAGCAAATTAAAAAACCAAATGTTTAGAAGCAAATAACTTGTATTGTATATATGTTATTGAAAAAAAGAGCACGCTGTTGCACAGATAAAGTTCTTCTTTAAGTGCTGTGAAAATTTGGTAGTTCTACAACAAATATGGTGCGAGAAAAGTTGTCCTTCGCAAAAGAGTTTTTGCTATGTTGTACATTTGTAAGACGGAGACAACACATGCGGGTGTGGCGTCCTCTTAACTTTCGGCTACTTCCCCGTAAGCAACAGTTTTCACGGCCGGGGACTGAAAATATTGAACCACATCGCTAATGCCGACGCCATCGATGACGTCCATTTGCCATGACCTCAGATCATCGACGATATCCATTTCATCAACAGCCGAAAGTATCAACCTCGACCATCAATGTCCACGAAGATTGACCACACCTTACCACCTCTCGATGCGCCCTCTAACATCCGTCCAACGCAATGTTGGCTCCTCGTTCTACACATTTGCTCTTCCTTAAAGTCATGCGTGCATACTCAAGAGGAGGCATATAAAACCAAAGTATTAACTGGTCCAAATATATCAAATAGTTTACTATGCATATAAAAGTGTATTGAAAAAATAACTTTTTATACAATTTTTAGGGCGTCCGTCCGTCTGTCACCAGGCTGTATCTCATGAACCATGAAAGTTAGAAAGTTGAAATTTTCACAGATTATGTATTTCCGTGGATGTTATAACAATAGATACTAAAAATACTTTTTTTTTTTTTTATTCTTTTTTTTTCGAGTTAATCGGGGACGGAAGAGGAACCGCGTTAGCATTATTTCTCCTCTTATCCGAAAACGGATGTTTTAACAACAGTATATAATTTAACACTCACAAGAGGACCTCAGTATAGTACAGACTACAGAGTAGACAAGTACAGATAGGTATTTGCTATTTGCAATTCAATTTAAAAGTTAACAATAACTCCAAAAAAATGTGAGTAGGTAATGTCTTGGATACGGAATATAATATAATCAATTCTTAGATTTTTTTTCTAAGACAAAAATAAATAGCATGAAATAAAATATATTTCTACGAAACCAATATACCTTACTTTTAAATAAATGGATTTTAAATTTTTAAATAATTTTGTTTTGCGTTATTTTTCGTTTAACGATATTCTATAAATTACGTTTTGCGATATTTTTTGTTTAATGATATATTATATATTTTGTTATTCGTTATGCTTTGTTTTGTGGTATTTAATTATTTTTGATTATCGCTTTCCGTTATAATTACGTTTACAAATTTCAATCGTTATTGGTCAAATATAAAGCTATTATAACGTTTGCAAGCCCTGATTATAATATACAATTCGAAAATAAATGACCAAAATCGTAAAAGAGTCGACGAATCAGTATTGTCTAGTTGATTACGCATGACTCGAAAAGAAAATTAACTTAACTGCATGAAAATGATAATTAACTATAAAAAGTTAAGTTACAACAATAAAAATTTTAACTGAATAAGTTAATAAATTAAAAACAAAAATAATTAACTAGTTAAGTTAAAAAGTTAAAAAAATTAACATTTTAACTTAACTTTTTAACAAGGGCCATAAAAAACTAGCTGAGTCCGAATTCGGCCTATCTACGGGCCTTGTGTTTGACATGCCAACTGTTCAGCTCAAGATGGATAGGCTTGGAAAATCCACCTAGTTGTGTTCGATAGAATCATGGGAATCCCTGTGTCTATGTGAAACGACCTCATCAAGTTCATCTGCACACGATAATTTATAAATTGTATTAACCATAACTATAATAACCCACATAACTTGAAAGTTCCTTGTGTTGTGTGCTTGTTTCCGATTCTACTAGATGGAATATAACATAGTGTACTATAGTGTTGGTGACTGCCTACTTTTTACTTAGTCAGAGATATTTTACATTTTGTGTTCCTACAGATACGGTCCATTTTCATCGGGGCATAGCTATCCGTAAAAAATTAAGAACCAATATAATAAAATAATTAGATTTAGAATTTAGATAGGTATTTTAGGGCAGGGCTCGTCATCTTTAAATAAATATTTGTCGATCTTATTAAAAATGTATTATACTTTATAATATCTGTTGATCACGCGTGCGTAATTGTAAAGCTTAAGACTTTTAACACACTTTTACGCTTTGTGTACCAATTACAAAGTAAATTATTTACTAGCGAAGAAAAAAATATAATTATTTTCCGATGGATAAATAATGAAAGAACAATATTACTAAACAATTTATTATTATGCTGCATGTAATAAATTAAATTATAGGTACACCTAAACAAATAGTGGTAGAACACCAGACACTTAAAATGTTTAATGTGGCTCACTTGTTGGAAAAGGTTGATGACCCCTGCTTTGGGGTATACTCAAATCAAGTAAAACTAATGGTCATTAATCATCAATAAAGTTGTATAATTTGTTCAAAACTTATACTTATTGGTAGTTCTATAATATATTATATGATATATATATATATATATATGTATAGTGTATAATATACCTATAGGCTATTATGCATTATAATTATTAAATAATCAAGAAACTAATAAAAAACGATGAAAAAATATCGGTAACCATAATTTTAAACAGTATAAAACATAATCTGCATCATTTTGACACAATATAATAATATAACGGACGTAATCTCTACTTGTAGGTACATGGCTTATAATACATTTATTTACATTTTATTTACAAATATCATTTGGTTACATTTCGTAAACCGTTGTTTTTCTTCACCACTATTATGGTAACCAACATAAATACGGCGATCCATCCGGATGCGGACAAAAATCCCTTGTAGACTGTTGGGTGCGTTATCGACCAATCCCTAGCGGATAGGGCTCTGAACGATTCCGTCGACAATGTGATCGGCAAAATCCATCCAATTGATCTCAATACATAGTGCATGCCTTCCAGCGGCCATATCATTCCACTGAGCATGGCTAGAGGGAAGAAACTTCCCAAGCCCATAAACGTGGCAGACGTGTCGGTATTGCAGAACACCGAGACCATAAATCCTTTATAAAATAAAAAATAATAATCACGCTGAGTCGTCGATACCAGAACGTGTAGAATGCGGCTACGCAAGTACGTTTCCATCCCCATTAACCGCTTTTTTCTGTAAGGGTGTTCTGCCATTTTATATACAATTATATAGTTTTCACTCACCGTAACACATGCCACTGGTCCCCGTCAAGAATAGCAACGACAGCGACCACACTAAACTCCCCACCATAGGATTATCGAAGAACACAAATAACACCAACATCATCAACGCCGTTTGAACGCTTAAAACTATGTACTGGACCACAATGTGAGACAATATAACTTCTGTCACCGTGACGCCTTGAAAACAATGAAGATTCGATTAGTCGTATTAGATGCTAGGGCGGCGTTTGGACCGTTTACAATTTAGATATAATATGATTTTATTTTGAATAAATTATACCTGCAACGAGACTCCTCTCCAACAATCCTCCCATCTTTTCCATAAGTATCGCTCCCACGGTGAACACCATCGGGAGATAGAACTCGAATCTGTGGATCAAAATATTGCCACATTAAAAAGGATATTGCACATCCTGACATTAATTATTGTGGATTAGTGTGCTAGTTGAATAATACCACACAATGGACATAAACGCAATATTGGCTATATTATGGTTAGTGTGAGTTGCTGTTTAATCAGGTATTTATTTTTTAATATTATGAAAATAAACCAACAGTGATATGATAGCTGGAGCTGTGAAATGTCCAAAACTCGGGTTGTTGTTTCCGTAAATTGCGTCTTCCAACTAAACAGTACAGCGAAGAAACATATTATTAAACTATTTAATGTCCAACAATGATTTCCATTAAATATTACCTTGATCGGAATATCGGCCATCGCAACGGGCCAACCACAGTCTCTGAATATACTTTCTAAGAACATCACATACCTCGAAAGCATATCCCTTCGTAATAGGTTACTCACGTACTGGTCTGTAACAATGAAAGATTTTTAACGTTTTGATAAATAACAAATTGCTTAAAATAAAAATTAAATTAAAATACTTTGTAATAGCAACATGCTTAATTTTATAAAACATTTTCTATCGGAAGGAACCTTCCAAGTAATAATAAACGGCTTCCCCTCATCAGTATTCAAGCAATAATATAGTGTACCTCAAGGTTCCACCATTTCAGTTACGCTCTTTCTCATCGTCATGCCGATGATTTAAAAATTTGTTGCTGCGGAAAAAACACAAACAACATACAACACCCAACTTCAAAATACACTCTCATCACTTGTGAATTTGTCAGCTATTACTGGATGCTGTTTTCACTGGTGGATCCAAAATGGATGCCGGAGTAGGAGCTGCGGTGGTATACAACGAAACTTCTTATAGAAAAGCACATCATAAACCAATAGCATCTTATATGTGGTCAACCTGCCACACCAAACTTAACGAAATAAAAAATACAGTCCTCCCATGGCCAAGATCCAGATGACAGGAAGTAATCCTAAACAGATGACAAATCAACCTGGTTGACTCGCAGACACCTTATGAACGGAAATGAACCAGACTTATGCCAAAAATATTGTAGAGAAATTCTTACTGTCAAATATATAATTGTCCACTGTAACTTCAGTAACATTAGAGCCCAGCTTGTAATTTCAGAAAACCTTTATAAATCTCTAAACCAGATCCAGGCAACCCCAAAAAAAATCTCAAATATCTAAAGTTAACTAAATTATACAACCCAATATAAGATATTATATTTACTGTATCATAATTGTGCTAAAACCATTGTAGGTAACTTATTAATGTATAATTGCATTAGCCAATAACTATTGTTGTTGCGGCTTTAATACAAAATAAAAAAAAATAATAATATAATATGTGCTTACTGGACATGTCTTGCCATATATTGACATCACTGATATTTAATTCCCTTTCGCTTAAATCGTCGGGCATTTTGATTCGTCCGCCGAGCGATTCTGAATAACCTTCTTCGAAATATAACACTCCCCAAACTTTATTCTTCTTGACAGCAAATTTCGCTTCGTCCAGAGAATCAAACTCTATCTGATTTATCAATTTATTATACGTGTTGTTATTTGGTTTTTACTTTTTATCGACATTGGCAATAGTTAACTTATAAGTAATAACTACTATAATTTCAATACTAACCAATTTGTAACTTTTATCCTTCAAGTTTTGTAAATATCGACAACTTAGCGGTATACTGAAATTGCATCCACTCGACGGGTAACTACTGCAACTTGACATACCAGTTTTAAGCTCTTCGTTGACCACTCCTAGTTTCAATCCTTGGGGATCACGACCAATACAGGTGCAAAATAAATAGCATTGCACAACAGGCAAGATCATTAGGAAACACATAATCCTACACAAAATTAACACACAACGATATTAATGTGTATTAATTATTTTTTAATTACTTTTATATGTAACAGTAAATTATATTACAGACGTTTCGACCTCTGTTAGCGTATAAATATTATTTTATGGTTTTATCATATAAATGGTTAAAACATAAGATACATTTTGTTTATGGTTACTATAAAAATTTCAATTATTGAACTGTGATGTATATTCTGTGGTGAGTGATTTAACTATATGTCTATATAGGTACCTATTAAGATATTTAGTACTTACGGTATATTTCTTTTCATCCAGTAAAAGTTTTTTAATAATTGTGCTAAAATTCTCGATTTTGAACAAATATTATCTGGTTTCAGTGGTGCCAATGGTTTTTTACGTGGTACAGGATATGTTTCAATATTCTAAAAAATAAATATGAATTATTAATACATGTTTAACATTTATTTAAAATAATAACTATAGTTATTATTTTAAATAAAATCTAAAAATATAACTAAACATAATAATTCTGACATACACAATTTTCATCTTCTCTGTCCATAATGCTGCTTCTAGTTTGGCGTTTGCTAAGCTCCAGAAAAGCTTGTTCCAAAGTTGAGCAGTTGTGTTTTAAAAGAAGTTGATTGGGAGATTCTTCAGCTAACAACGTACCATCTCGCATTAACCCAATCTGTAAACATACAATTAAGTTAAACTAAATATTAAACAAAATATTAAAATCTATACACACGAACAAAAAATACTCTAGAAAAAAAAAATATGAAATAAATCATCATACAAATATATGTTTCGTTGTGTTATTTTCCCACTAAGTATAGGTACTACCATTGATTATAAAAGATAAATACTATTTCTAATCAATAGTAATATCAATGGATATTTTCTCTACTCGAGGCTTTTCATGTTATTTTAATAAATTGTCCTATCATCATAAAATGTACTTTTAATGTACCTACTTTGAATAATGGTAGAGTGGATTAGGCCGATTATAATACATACTCAAAATCCATAAACCATTTGGTAACAATTTTAGAAAATATTCCTCCCACTCTTCCTCCAGATTATTTTAAGAAGTAGGTAGGTACTACAGAGAATTTTCAATTTTGACCTCTCAAAAGTACCAACTAGATACAATTTTCTACCAGCAACCTCCCGACCAACAAAGTTGATCTTTAGTCACAAAAATGAAAAATATAAAACACAGATTAGGATCTAAAATTATCAATCGATATTTGTTATAACCCCCTGTATATTATATCATAATATACATATTTTGTTTGAATACTCGTATAAACGTTTGCATAATTAATTATTTACTAACCGTATGTGCTTGTCTGGCTTCTTCAATATAATGTGTGGTAATCACAACAGTTTTATTTCCATTGGCTGTCATGTCTAGAAGATGTTGCCAAATGCTACCAGAATACAATAGGTCGTTTATTACAATATAAAATACAAATTAAATTTTTTTTTAAAATGGCATTTTTATTGACATTTTATCTATGTAGATTGTAGGTATTTACCTAGCACTCAGCACTGGATCTACACCTACTGTAGGTTCGTCTAATATAAGAAGTTCAGGGTCGTGAAGCAATGCAACCGCGAAAGACACTCTTCTTTCTTGACCGCCACTATAAAATAATATTACTATATAGTCTATAGCTGTCTAAGTATAATACTTGCTAAAGCTATAAATAAGTTTCTATTTAAATACCTACATTAAATACCTAAATATTATGCATATTTATATTGTTGTTTTTTTTTTAATAAAAAACAGCGATATAATAATCAATCTTAAAATTTAAAATTATAATTATTTGAATACTTAATACTATGATACCAATATACATAAGTAATATAACATAATATATGTTTAAATTTACCTTAGTCGACTAACAATATTATTTTCATGAGGTAGTTCTAAAAATTTCAATAGTTCATAAGTTCTAGTTTCTATTTGTTTATGACTCATACCAAATAAACGGCCATAATAGGTCATTGTTTCTTTAATACTAAACTCTTGGTACAAAGCGAGTTCCTGAAAAAAAAAAATGTACAAAATACTTAGATAAATGTATCTAACCTAAAATATTTTAACAACAATTACTTGAGGCATGTATCCGATGTTGGACTTCGTCCCAGCTTTGACTTGTATATCCCCAGCATCGATCTCACACCGTCCAACCATGCAGCTGAGTAAGGTAGTTTTACCACAACCACTGGGACCGAGAAGACCATATCTATATGAACCAAAATAATCCAATAAATTATATAACCAATATGGGTATAATTTATTTACAAATATTTTGTTATAAATATAATTGAGAACCGTAATTTGTTTATTCGTTTTTAAGTATTTGTATGGTGATTTTAGTCTAATATCCAGCCATACACAGTTGGGAACTTTCTACTTTCTCAATTATAATTATATAGATTATTATATATTTTTACTAGATGTTGGACTGTACCTAATTACAAAAATGTGGCAGTTTTTCTGGTTGGCGTATGAATATGATATGATTAAATTTTACCTATATTAGATATCATCAATATTGCATACAGTCATACAGATGATGTGTAACATTAAGAGTTTTCTATGTTCTCAATGATTGCCTAATGGGTTATAACTTAAATAATGGTATTTATGTCCAGCAATAAAATAATACATTTTACCATACATAAGTATATATATTACTCATTTATGACGTCTACAGTATACACTATACACATATTATATTATATAACTCCTAGATGGTTAAAGTTAAATTATAATCATATCCTTATCATACTAATCTAATACCTAACCTAACCATATTATACACGCCAGAAATCAAGCATTATAATATTTCCATCAATCAGTGTTATATTTAATTTTTACACTTGAAAATTATTCTGATCAACTGTTATTCCAAAAGTTTATTTTTATTACCTGAAGTTAAATGAGATTGTTTAAATTTTTTTTTTAAATTGGATTACCTTTGTATCAACTTTATTAAATATACCTAGATACCTTTTAGTTTTTATGGTACTCGTACAATACTACATCTATTTGTCTATTTAATGTACAATATAGAACCTCATCAATTATGATTGATATATTTTAAACTCATAATTCATTAAAAAAAATCAAAACTATAATTTTTCTCAAAATATAATGTACAAATTAATGAAACATATTATTATTATTTTTTATTATTATAAAACATTTTTATATTATTCAAAGTCAATCAGCTTACTGTTTTATATATACAGATTAATTCCCATACTCCATAGTTTGTATTTTAGGTCTTGGTTTGGGTCTGTAGTTGTAAATTAACTTTTCTTGACTTGTTGTCATCAGAATCTCTATGTGAGGTTAACCAACTTTCGACATAGTCTTTTCTGAATACGGGTAAACAAGAATCTAACAAAGTAACATAATTTTGGTTAACGGGCTCGTTTCCTAGGTTCAGACTTCAGATCATAGGTAGGTAAACTTAAACCTAATCAGCTGATCGAGTTTCACTTCTATATTGTTCTATGAAAATTTTATTACTATTACTATTTATAGTAAACTAATTACGCTTATCTTTTTTTTGTTATTGCATTATTGTTTGTAATTTAATATACATATTATAATACCCAATAATATTTCCTAAATAAATTAATGACTAAGTATAATTGGGTAACGTTAATACGTATGGTTCATGGTTCGTGCACCCGCGAACCACGATTTTCTTTAAGGGTGCACGCATTAATCTAAAATTGGGAGGTGAGTATACGCCGTGTACCCGCGTGTACCCTCCACTACATCACTGGGTATAGAAAGTTTACATAATTAGTAAATACATTATGATGTACAACATATATTTGTATTATGGCATTGCATAAATGACCCTGATGTATGGTTAAATAGTAATCGCCTTTCTCCGGCTATGATATAAGATATAATATATATATAGATATGTTCGACACAACACACAAATTGTTGATCAATATAATATCATATAGGTACTTATATAGATATTACGATAGTAACGAGATTTGTGCCCAAATCAGCGAACACCGTTCTGTATTACCTACCTAGTACCTACTAATTATTATTACTATAAAAGTAAGAGTCAAAGTATTTTTTTTTAAAAGCAACAGGTAATTCATTTTTTTGATTCCATTCAAAATTTAATATTAAAATAAATGTGTAGTGTGTACAGTGTCATCATATTTTGTTTTAATTTTTATATAACTTCAGAATATTTAAATGATACCTAAGAACAGCTAGATTTTAGATACAACATAAACTATAATATAGATGGATACAGTTTTTAGTTTCGTCGGTTTCGTCACAATTATAACTATATATAGGTATTATAGCTTAATAATAAGTTATTTAAAAGAAATCGAAACCAATACTTTTTTAAGTATAATGTGTATGGCAAGTATGGTATCATAAAAATGAAAATGAAGGTACCTATCTTATAATATTTGTATTTTGAACTTTTTTATTTATTATTAATTTACTCACATAGTTCCTTCGGGTACAGTCATGTTGAGGCCTCTAAGAACGACACTGTGAGGATTGTATCTCTTGTATGCGCCTCTGACCATAATAGCTGGTGGGTTATCGCTTCCATATTTGTCACTTAGAGCCATTCCGGGTGATTCCATTTTTAAACAATATTATACTATCAACTCATCACCTGGAATAAAATTAATTGTAAGGTATACATTTTTGTATGTGTTCAAAAAATATCAAAATTATGATGCAAACAAACATCACAATATTACAATAATATCTTCAAACAGTACACTTTTCAGTAAAAATCCAGATGGAGCGACTTCAACGGCTCATATTTTTTTCTTTATTATTAATTTAAAATTTTCGTCACGTTGATGTTAAGTACTAATTTAGTGCTTAATACTTATTGTTTATCAATCATATAATTATTTAAGAATTAGTCAAGCGTGTAGTAGGGAGGAGTAGAAATTTCATATTTATTTTGCACTTCTGCTCCCCGTCGAGATATTAAATAATCATAATTTACTATCTAAATAATTAATGATTGAGCATTATCTACGTAGTTCTAATATACACATCTATAGAGGCTAAAGCTTTTAATGAGCAATTTTTAAAAAAGATTTTAATGCGTATCCATATGAACATTTTCACAACATTCACTTCATTAATATAATATTCTTGAAATTTTCTTTTCAAGCCGATCATTGAGAGACGACGTGAGAATTACTATGACGTATAATTTCTACAGTTAGTATAGTTGCGCAAACGTCACCGGAGGTTCGCATTATGCACAGGTAATCACTAGGATTAATTCAATTGAAATTTCTTAAACACATCCAAGGCTGTATATTATCAAAAACAACGCACTCGTAAATTTGTAATATTTTAATTTGATACTTGCTATACCTAATTATTAAAAATAAATTCAATATCGATTAACATTAACCTTTTTATTTTTTACGTTTATAACATCTACCAGCTATATATAGTACCTATAATGCTTTAAATGTAAATGTATTATTAACTATCTGAAGGCCCTGGAGATTACTGGAAAAGCTCGTGGACAAAAATCAAAATCTAGAAATTATTCAAAAATTTTTTTGGAATTAAAATGGCATTTTTCAAATAGATTTAATCGATAAAACCATACTACGAAATAAAAATAATATTTCACTGCAATTGAATAAAAATGTCAAATACATACATGAGTATGTTATAAGAAGTTCAAATTATATACTAATTTAATTCAAAAACGTGATTATTCCTATTAGTCATATTACATGAAAAAAGAACATTAGGTTATGAACATATTAACATCTATTACTGTGTTGCCTAAATGTATATTCACAAATTACATATTGTTATTTATGAGGAAAAATATACACAAATAGTTATTAATCTGCAAATAATAAAAAATGGATGTCTATTTTAAATAGACTATTTATATAACTTAATTAATATAAGTAGGCACTCAGATTTCAGTTTTTATTAAAGCCATATTCACTGTTATTGTTGCTATAGGTAATGACAACAACGTGTTTTGTGTTCATCCTATTTTGAGTGAATACCTATACCTAAGTAGGTATACAGCTATTCAGTTAATATTTTATAAATTTTACTTATTGTAAGCAGCTAATTGCAGATGAAGAAATATATAAAAATAAAGAAAAATCTAATAATTTATATTCACACAATATATTAAATGCCTAAAGTACCTATTATTACTTAGTCCACACACAGTTAGTTTTCACCTATAAATGATTACTTTGATGTTTAGTTTGATTTATTTTTATCTAAAAATTGTCCAAACAAATGATACAATATAGATAGTACTAGGTACACTAAACGATAGTATAGCATATATCACATAAATATAGTATATAGTACATATAAATAAGATATAACATAAGTCTTCCAAAAACTGTACATTCTCCTTCTCTGTACCTATTCTATGATGTGTTACCATGTAAATCAAACTACCACTGCGGCACTGCAGCACCCCTCCAGAGTAAGTGGACCCTATAAATTTCCTGTTTCATTAAATATTCGCAACGACTTTCCATCCACATTACGAATTTGCTAATGACATATTATTTACCTAGATATATTAAATTTAATATTAAATACCTATTGGGTATTAATATATTATATAATATTATATAGTGATGAATGATAGTTTATGGTTTATTTTTTCAACGATAGGTATTTTAAACATAAACAAACATTATTATAATATTAAATAAATAAATGTATAATGTGTAACTGAATGTAATATAAAATAATATTTAATTTGAATATCGTTGATTAGTAGATATTTATTATACAGTACTTATTTTTAATATAAAATAATATAAATGAAAAAATATCAGCCAATGGCTCAGAATCTGAAAATACTTATTAAACTAAAAAAATGCTTTTAAATTAATTTATGAATGTTGGTATAATATATTATTTTGTTTTATTGGTTATTACGTTTTAAGATTCAACGAGAATATTTTATGATTTAACGCAATTTTATGATTTTACAGAATGAAACAATTTATGCGTTAGATAGGTTGTCACATTGATATTTATAATATTTATGCGTGTCACATGTACAATACGTGTATGACGTCATAAAGCATTGTATACATATTTTGTTGATCGAACTCGAAGTCAGTTTGAATGTAAAAAATACTATTATTATTATTTCGTTTTGTATTTCACATAAGTATTTACTGACATATTATTATCATTCTGTATTGGAGTTCTTAAAATACATTTCGAGGACTCGAACGAAAGGACTCTAAATCCATTGCTAAATAAAAATCTACTTTATTGTTTAATGTTTTCAACTTCTTCGAGTTGACGAATAGGAAAATTACATAAAATTAAAAGATAATTTTCCGTATACGAATCTTTAATGAGTTTTCAATTAAAATGTTCCCATCTAATTTGCGCACAACATACTACTCATCGATATTTAATTGACAATTTTGGAATGACGAGTTTAGCAAAATACAATAAATTACACGGACGATGCGTATCACAAAACCTTGTATAACTTAGAAGTTTGAACATTTCATACTTAGTCCGCTTTCTTTATATTATAGGGAATGAATCAAAATACAGTTTAAAATAACTACTACTCTTATAGTCGTACATTATACATTTATACCTAAATGAGACTTTAATTTTTATAGATAGGTTTTAATTCAATTTAATGTTATGGAAGTATAGGTAGGTACAAGGTACTATAAATCATTTTTTGTTTAGTATCGTTGCATCTGCCGTGTATCATTATAATTCCAACAACAATTTGTTCACGTATAATACATTAGCACATTAGAAAAATATCTAAAAATTATTATATTTATTATTATAATATACGCACAAATCATTATTGAATATTGAATAATAATAATATTCCGCATACATACAACATATTTTATTCGTTTCGATATACATTAAATGTGTCGATGAATGTCAATAATGTACTATTGTATTGTTGAACTACAAAACCACAAAAACTATAGGTATAGGTACACATAATATTATATAGGTACAGAAATAAAATAAAATGAGACATAACTGAAGGAAAAAAAAACTAGTATTTTATATCTTGTTTTAATATTACGAGTATACCTACACACACGATGGTATTTTTTATATTATTATTATTATATATCCTGGTATACGGAATGATTTCTGAGTGAAAGTGGTCAGCGCGTAAGAAACCAGTTGGGTGCTCATAACAACCACGTCCGTTACATAATTGTGTACAAAATATCCAGAGAGCAAGTGACCTAATATTAACAAACTCGATCGGGTTATTGAACACACGGCGGTTCCGACTTTTGATGAGAATTTCCGGTATCTGATTATGATTTTAACACACGATATTATTTAATTATTATCATAGTATATTCCTACCTATAATTAAACATTTTAAACGCTGTTACCGCACTATTATATATGTTATTGAATAATAATATCATATTCGAGCTCTATGAGAGTGTATTCAGAAGAATATCGTATATCTTAATCATTATAAAGTTAAACGCAGTCCTATTGTAGAATTCTTAGAATTAATGATAAAATGCACGAATACTCGATTGATTTGGAAAACGTTCAAGATTCATGTTATTCAATCTACCGAAGCGTCGTTCATGTTTAAGAATTTATGATATTGTGACAATATTTTTTTGCTATCTATAATATACACGAGTTGAATGTGAACGAGGTGTTTTAATTATGATTTTGATAGACTACAGTAATCGTTCAGTGTATATATATTCGCTAAAGTTTAGGAAGACTTTACGGTTTAGATACATGTATGAGATCCAAGTGAGATCTGAACCGAAGTATAGTGACTTATAGAAAATATTGCAAGCATAATATAAATTGTATAATATACAGTACCTACCTATAAATTCCTAATGTATAAAATTAATGTGAAACCATTCATGATTTTGTACGATTGTCATCATTGTTTTATACTTTTATGTATTTAGGATAAATTAATAGTATTTTTTATCTGTTGATAATACATTTATGTGTGAATTAAATTAATTCATTCATTCATTTAAAATACTATACAACTCTAAAAAGAAAACATTACATTTTACAAACTATTCATAGATTTTCCAAATGCCAAAAAGGGATTCAATTTATTCAAAGTAAAAACACTAAAAAACTATAAGAAACAACATAGTATTTACTTATCAAAAGCAGACGTCAAAATTATTGTAAAACTTTTTATAAACAGTTCAATATTAAATTACTTTTATCGATATTTATTATTTTAGCATGAAAAAATAGCCTGCACAAAATGATTAGACTATAATTTTGACGTTTTAAAATAAGTTAATTAAAATTATTACTTACGTACCATTAAAGAGTGAAACAAGTAAGAAAGATCGTCCGGATTACACGTGTGTCTTACAAGACTAGAGTACGTATACTGTACATGTGACGGGATAACCAATTGTTGATGGTAGCTCGGAATAATGACGTAACCCTTTTACTGCGTCCTTCTTAAGATAGTTCTGTTATAAACACAAGGAAGGGAGATAGTAGGAAATATCGTTGGTCTTAACGCAAAAGGTGCAGTATTTACAATCAGGACATTGCAATTTGCAGGGGACTACGATAACATAATATGAATGGC